GCATGAAAAAGCAACTTCCTACCATATCTTGGTAAGATGCATGTGTGGTGGAGAAGATCAAACTCAACAAGAGAACATGTTGGCAAAGTTTGTGTTAATTCAGTATTCTTGGAGCATGTGGGAATATCCCATTTCAAAGTAAAGTATAGGCTATAGCATCTTGTATTTCCTGCCGCTAAGAAAGAAGAACAATACCTAATAGTTTATTTTGGAAACCTGAGGCAGCACATACCATGTACCATTGAAAATATTCTGCTTTAATGCATTTGATTTAAAAAGCTGATGGCTTTGTGTGGCATATAGCCCAGTTCAGATTGCAGTACAAATCTTGTCACTCTTATCTCATGACCTGGCAGAACTGTGAACAAATTTAAGTCTTGTTGAACTGTGAAGGGTCTGAGATTTTACTCTAGTTGAAAACTAACAAGGTAGTTTACCACAGTTACATGGATCCTGTTTGAAGACACAAGATCTCTGGGACAAAACAGAGGACAGTTTATTCCTTTCAGCAATAAAAGTAGTAAGAATATCAGCATTTTTACACCAGTTCTCTGAGCCCCAGGGCAACACAGAGGGCCAGATGACACCTGCACATACGAGGGCTCTTCAAAAAGTTCATGGAAAATGCATATTCTGAAAAAATTATGCATGGATTTCAAATTTTTTTGCACTTAAATACACTTGTACTAACTTAATATAACATGTCTGAACAGGATCTGGTTTGAGGCACCAAGAAGGATAAGACATTAGTTTGAAAAGAGCCCCTATCAGAGCAACATGAATTCTGCTAAAATTGAAGCAAGAAGAAACATCAAACTTAGGGCAAAGCTTGGGTGGAAGAATGATGAAATTGATGCTTTACAAAAAGTTTATGGGGACAATGTCCTAAAGAAATCAGCAGTTTACAAATGCATAACTCATGTTAAGAAGGGATGAGACAATGTTGAAGATGAAGCCCACCGTGGGCAGACCATCCACATCAATTTGTAAGGAAAACATTGTGCCTTAATTAAGAGGATTGACAATTAACAGCAGAAACAATAGCCAACACCATAGACATCTCACTTGGTTCAGCTTACACAATTCTGACTGAAATATTACAACTGAGCAAAGTTTCTGCTCAGTGGGTGCCAAAATGGTTGCACCCAGATCAGCTGCAGGCAAGAGCAAAACTTTCAATGGAAATTTTAAACAAGTGAGATAAAGATCCTGGGCATTTCTTCAAAGACTGTATCAGGAGATAAAACATGGCTTTATTAGTATGATCCTGAAGACAAAGCACAATCAAAGCCATGGCTACCAAGAGGTGGAAGTGGTCCAGTCAAAGCAAATGTGCACAGGTCAAGAGCAAAGGTCATGGCAACAGGTTTTTGGGATGCTCAAGTGGTTTTGCTTGTTGACTTTCTGGAGGGCCAAAGAATGATAACATCTGCTTATTATGAGAGTGTTCTGAGAAAGTTAGCCAAAGCTGTAGCAGAAAAACACCTGGGAGAGCTTCACCAGAGAGTCCTTCCCCACCACCACAATGCTCCTTTCTGCTCATTCTTCTCATTAGACAAGGGCAATTTTGTGAGAGTTTCAATGAGAAATCATTAGGCATCCACCTTACAGTCCTGATTTGGCTCCTTCTGATTGCTTTTGTTTCCTAATCTTAAAAAATCTTTAAAAAGGAACCCATTTTTCTTCAGTTAAAAAGACTGCATTGACATGGTTAAATTCCCAGGGCCCTCGGTTCTTTAGGGATGGACTAAATGGCTGGTATCATTGCTTACAAAAGTATCTTGAACTTGATGGAGCTTATGTTTAGAAGCGGTTTATATTTTTTATCTTTTAATTCCATTTTTCCATGAACTTTTTGAAGTCCCCCTCTGTAGTGCATTGTGCTACTAGAAAGGAACCCTGAGCTCAGGAAACTCACATCTTTTATAATGAGCTATAAGCATGCCACCTTTTGCTCCAGAGAGGGCCTTTATTATACAGTAAGCATTTATCTTTATTATACAGTAAGCATGCCTGCCATTTTCTCTGAATGCCTTCTGAATAAATGTATTCAGAATTTTTCAATCAGAAAATCTAGAAAGGAGCTATTCCAATTTCTACATACATGTAAGTTTTGTGTTATTTCAATAAATTGTATTTTAATTACATGTGGCGAGACACCATAATCTTTTCAGTGCTTTGGGGTCTAAAAGTCTTACTCCCTCACAATTTACCCCTGACACCCACTAACTTCACAGGAAGAAGTGGGGCAATAGGTTGATGATTTTGGGGATTCAATGCATTTTTGTATACTCTAGCCCCCAGGAACAGGTGGTTTTATGATACAAGAAGACCTGTTGAAAGTTCATGCACAATGGCCCCTTAGACACTAAAGATCTCTCTGGCTGGATGAAATATATGTTCATTGCCCAGTATATGGGGATGTTTCCTACAGCTAAAACACATTAATTTGGGAAACAAAGAGCGAAGCGTGAATGGCGCTTTTAAGATTTCAATTAATAAATGACTATCTAAGTTTTGCTTTTTGTGCTCTGAATTTTAGGCTCTGATTATCAAGTGGCCTATCTAATTAGTATAGAAACACTTTTATATTGAACACAATAATGATTCTATAATCTGTTCAATGTAATAATGATTCCAAAATAAAATAATAATGGGAAAAAGGAGGATTATTGAGGAAAAATAGAGATGCTGTAACACAATAAGGACCAAGATTAATTTGAGTGGAGCCTGGGCCACAAATTTCTATCATCGTACCCAAGGATAAAGATCAATGAAAGATAATTTACACAGCAATAGATAACTGATCACCAAATGGCAGGTTTACCAGTGGCTCAGCTCCTTCAGGAGTGAAGGTAGTTCATAAGCCTGGGCAAAGAATCCTAATCAGCTAAGGGGCTGTTCAGAGGCAAGAGAGCACATGGAATGTGCAGTGGAGAGATAAATTTAATACTAGCCTAGGTATTAGTTACAGAAATAAGTGTCACAAACTCTACTTGCATTTCTTGTTTTCTGCTAGTGTAATAATTATCACCATTTTCCCCCTTTTTGAGAAGAAGCTAAGAGAAATTGTTATCACCTGGAGATCCTGGACTCCAAGAACAGTGGTTCTGACATTACCTCTGGACCCCGTAGCTAGATATGACTTTGGATTGTCTCTTGAGGAGGAGAACGTGTTTGTGGTTGCGTGTAGCGAGGTTGGATTATTTTTGCAGGGGTATCTTTGATTGTACAGGAGGACTGATGTGTGCATGGCAAGCACATATGTGCTGAAATGCTGAGTAGCCAACGGGTGACTCATAGGAGACCAGAGTATAGAATCTTATAAAGATTAAGTAACTTTGCCAAGGTCATATAGCCAGTAAGTGATGGAGCCAGATAAAAAATCAGGCTGTAAGATCAGGGGACATGGGGTGTGGGTTTTATGGGCACCCTCTCTACTATCTTCACAACTTTTTTGTAGATCTAAAACTATTCTAACATTTTTTTTTCCTTTTTGTCTTTTTTTGTGACCGGTAACGGGATCACAACCCTCGGTGTCGCGCCCGCACCGCGCTCAACCAGTGAGCGGACCGGTCTCTATATGGGATCTGAACCCTCGGCGGGAGCGTTGCTGCGCTCCCAAGCACCGCACTCTACCGAGTGCGCCATCGGGCTGGCCCTATTCTAACATTTTTTAAAGTTTACTAAAAGAAGAACCCCAGGCTGTCAGATTCTGGAGCCTATACTTTTAACTACTGTTATCTCTACACCCTTGGCCCAAGTGAAGTTCTGAAGAGTTGACAAACTCCTGTTTCCTAGGTCCCCATAATAATCCTCATTCCTTCCCATGACAAGAAATGATTATTCAGATTTTGCTTCGATTATCTGCCTTTCTGTAGTATCCTTCCAATAAATTTCCATTTGTGTTATGTTGCAACCTAACAATAACAGCAGCAGGAGCAGCAGCAAAGCAAAATGGAAACAAAACAATGGCTAACACAGTACTCACTGTAAGCCGGGCACTGTTCCGAGTATTTCACATGCATTAGTTCATTTGATTCTCGCAGTAACCCTCTCAGGTAGTTATTAATATTATCTCCTTTTACACGTGGAGAAACTGAGACACGAAGAAGGTAAGTAACTCTGCCCAAGGTCACACATCAAGTAAGTGGCACACCCAGGAAATCTAGCTCCTGAGTCTGATTCTTTTATCCACTTGCTGCGTGGCCCTCTCAAAAGAATTCTAATGTTATATACAGGCATGGCCACGGTTGACAGCTCTTACAATTTCTGGACTGGTTTCCTATTTTTTCTTTACGTTGTTGAAACAGTGTGCTCCTCCTCCTGCTGGACTTTTCTGAATGTACCGTTCATCTCCTGACCACTTGGGAACAGGTACTCTGAGAGCACACAGACATATATCTTCTGGAATTCTACATGCTGTGTGTAGGTTTATAAGCCAACACCTCACCCAGACACTGTGTTCTTCCAACACCCCTATAATGGGGTCACATTTCCCTCTCTAAGTACTACAATCTGGTTTTGAAGTTGCCTCAAGAAACCCCAACATCTTTCTCTTAAATCCCAATGAGGCTGTGCATGCACACACCTGCTGAGCAGACTCCCTCACCGCCTCCTGGCCTGGCATAACTCACACTCATACTCCTGTCTGCAAAGAGCAAGCCTCAGGGGTTCTGACCCCACAGAATGGGCTCTAGTCAATAAGAGGTGAAAAGCACAAAAAAACCATTCCACACAGAGTTGGTTATCATTTTATATTTTTCTAAAAACCTCAAGGAAAATCTTTGTAAGTGCTGACATAAATTTTCTAGGTATTCAAAATAAGAAAATGGAATGGTGAATGTATTGACAAATTACAATTTGAATTAAAATGGTTATTCTGTAGTATTTCATCTAGTTTGTATACTTAATATTTAAATATATGGTTCTAGGAACCGCTTAATATAAGTAGAAAATAAAGAGAAATTATGGTTATTACTTGTTCACTATCTAGACTTTCATCTTTGACCCAGCTCAGAGACAGTGCTACTGGAAAAGTTCACTTTGCTTCTAATCCATTTCTGGAATGCCGTCAATGGGTGGATGTTATGCAGTTGAAACATAAACGCTGTAAAAATTAATCCCCCCAGCACTACGGCTGCTGCTATGGCAACAAGCGTATGTCCTGGAAATGGCAATGGTGTTTCATCAACATAAATCTGCAACAGAAAAAGAGAAGTGTTTAAACTTACTGAATCCAATATCACAAAATACTGAACATTATATGATCCCCACAATTAATCACCTAGCGAAATTCTTCTCAGAGTTATAACAGACATTCAGTATCCACAAAGCTTAGAAATACTCTCTTGACAATCTAAGTAACAATTTGCACACAATAAATAGGGAACAAAAATTTCATTTCTTATCCTACACCTTTATCCTGTCTTTAATGGCAGAGGGAGGCAGGGAGGCTGCGTACGTGGCAGGAGAACGTTCTGTGTTCAGTTCCAGAGGAATGGGCAAAGGGCTGCGGGTCGGGAGGAGGGAAAGCTTCTGCACCTAGGGCAGTCATGGAGTGGCCTTTCTGAGCTGGATCTTGAAGAATGAGTGGGTTCACAGAGAAGGAGAAAAGGGGACATTTTGGGTAAGGGCATAAACATGTGGTCTTTTGAGCTGCCATGGCTAGAAAATCCTCTTTCTAAGTGGTGACATAGAAAGCTTTTTATGTCTTCAAAATGTTTCCTCTGTCTGAATGTATAATTAATAAAAGCAAGTTCCTAGAGGAGAGAGAGGATCATGGACAGAGACATGTTTTTCTCCGAGGCAAGAATGGGTGCTACTGAGTGTTCAATGTAGAAGTGGGGCGTAAAGAGAGGAAGGAGGTTCCAGCCCAATGGCTTCTGTTTCCTCTGTGAAATAGGAAGCCACATCATCTTCTGAAGTGCAAGAAAATGCAAAAGGATGGAAATAGCGCGGTGGGGAGTGTGGGAAAATGCCAAGGACGAGACAAAGGATTGATAGGTTGCTTTAGGGTCTAGCTCAAGTTAAAGGTACCACCGTCCTCCCAGTGACCTGAGGAGGTACGTGTTTTCTTAGACGCAGTCCCTAGATGCTATCAGTTCTCTGACAGTTCCCCTCATGTTCGTTTTTTCCATTCCACTTCCAATAGCACTATTGTGAGCTTTCTTAATCCACTCTTTATAAACAGGACTCTCCAACAGCCTCTTTTCCATGCTATCAATCCAGGTTGATATCACGTTAATCTTTGTATAAAACACCACTCTGTCTATAAAACACCTTTCCCCCAAAATGTTTAATAACCTCTCATAGCTAACAAGAATGTTCCAAAGTTTTCATTTCTGACATTTCAAGGCCTTCTAACAGTTTGACCCTAACCTACCCGGCCTTTGAATATATAACCTTGCATCCCGACCACATGGAAAGCTGTCCAAGAGACAAGCTTTATGCTTTCCTATGTCTGTATCTTTGCTCCTACCGTTCTCTCCACCCAGAATGCCTTCCTTTCCCATTTCCACTCAATGAAATTTCACTCACCCCAACAGACCATGTAAAATTTCACTTTCTCGATTAAGCCATCCATTAGATTTCTAAGAGTAGAAACCTCTACTGCCTCTGAATTCTATACCTCCACCTAAATTGCTACCTCTAAAGTTCTTGAAAACACTTTTTCTTCAAATGTTTCCCTTCTAGTCTTCTTTGATTAGCCATGTCTAAAAAAAAGTTAAACCTCAGAATCATGAGTCTGTTCTACATATTTCTCTCTTTATTCTTAAAATACTTCAGTTTGTGTTTCTTAAGCAGAAGAGTTTACTTAAATAACCACAGTGTGACTATCAAAGTAAAGAAATTAACATTCAGACAACACTATTATGTAATCCACAGGCTGATTTGAATTTTGTCAATTATCCCAATAATATCCTTTAGGTGAAAGAAAATGCAGGATAATATGTTGCATCCCATTGTTTCAGGATTCTTGCAACAGGAGGTTTCAATAGTCCTGAGAACCTCTATACTCTTCTTCTGTTGTTTCTTAATTATTCTCTTCCTTTATTAACTGTGCAGTCACTTCTTATCTTTCTTTTATTCATTTTTGTTCTTCCTTTATTCCTGAAACTTCAAGTTTCCCTCCGTTGCCATTTCTCTGCTGCCTGAAGACCTTCCTGCAGTATTTTAAAAAGAGAAGTTCTGCCTACAATGGATTCTCTTAGTTTTCCTTCATTTGAGAACGTCTTGATTTTTCCTTCATTCCTGGAGGATATTTCCACTGGATATAGAATTCTGGATTGAAAGTTCTTCCACCCCACCCCACCCCCACCCCCAGCACTTTAAAGAGTTTGTTTAACTTTCTTGTAGCCTCTGTGGTTTCTGTTGAGAAATCTGCAGTCATTCAAAGTGTTCCCTGGTATGCAGTGTTGTTTTCCTCTGGATGCTTTCAAGATTTTACTTTTTGCTTTTAGCAGTTTGATTATTATGTGTTCAGGAATGGTATTCTCTGTCTTTATCTTGGTTAGGGCTCATTAAGCTTCCTGAATACGTAAATATGTCTCCACCAAATTTGGGACTTTTTCAGCCTTTATTCATTATTTTTTTCTGCACCAATCTCTTTTTCCTCTCTTTCACAAACTCTAATGCAATACATGTTAGACCTTTCAATACTATCACACAGGTCCCCAAGGTTCTCCTTGTAACAATACTTTTTCTTCAGGTTGGATTTCTACTAATTTATTTTTCGTTCTTCCATATCCATTCTGTTACTGAGTCCATCCAGTAATTTTAAAACTTCAAATATTTTATTTTGCAGTTCTAAAATTTCCTTTTTAAAAAAATAGCTTCTAGTTCTCTGCTGAGATTTCTTCATCTCCATTAATTTCAAAAGCATTTACCTTTACCTCATGGAACATTGGTTATAATAGCTGCTCTAAAATCTTTGTCTGATAATTGCATTTGTTGTTCTGCTGAGATTTCTTCATCTCCATTAATTTCAAAAGCATTTACCTTTACCTCATGGAACATGGTTATAATAGCTGCTCTAAAATCTTTGTCTGATAATTGCATTTGTTGTCATTTGTTGATTGTCTTTTCTTTTCAGAATTGATTACATTTTCTTAGCTTTTGGTATAGTGAGTAATTTTAGATTGTATCCTGGACATTTTGGATATTATGTTGTGAGACTCTGGGCCCTATTAAAAATTCTCTGGAAATTTTTGATTTTTTGTTCTGGCAGTCAATCACACTGGTTAGGTTCAGATCACAGGGTATGCCTCTTCTGGGTGGTGGTTCCAATGTCCAAAGCTATTCCTGTGCTATTTGTGTCTTCCTGGTGCATGTGCCACCAGGAGTTATTCTGAAACTTAAGTGGTGTCTATATTGTAGTTTTATTTCAAGGCCTTTGCTATGCTTCTTTAGGTTTGTTTTGTTCCTGTGTGGCCTGGTACTTGTGCTAGTTCATATACAGAATTAGGAATCTTCTTCTCCAGCTCTCTTCTTTTAGAATTTCTCCCACAGTCTCCACTCCCAGAGGCCCTTTTTTCCCTAGCCCTCTGGGAAGAAAGCTGAGAGTCTGAGAAGAGAGAGAGAAAAATAACGGGGATCTCCCCTCATGCTCCTCTTGTGACAAGTGCTTCTTTTCCTAGTTCCTCTATCTAGTGAGATGAATTTTCTCCCAGGGTCTTAGGTGTTTGCATTGCTCCCATGGCTACCCACCACTGTAGTAATGCAGAGCCCTAATTGGGACTGGGCCAGGAGAGCAGAGAGAGAGAGAGAGAGAGAGAGAGAGAGAGAGAGAGAGAATATGTGAATGTGGCATCAGTATTGGACAATGAATGAGTCATGAATAATTTTTTATCAAATCCTCATTCCCTCCCACACCTCACAGGCAGAAGATGTGATTATATGAATAACAAAAATGAGTTGTTGCCTTCTTGGCATGATTTGGGGAGACTGCTATTGGTTCCCAATTCTTTTAGATCTTGAAAGCCTTTGGAATATTTAAGACTCTGTCATTGTAATTCAAATAACAAAAGGGAGGGTAATGCTGGAAACTAAAACGTTACAGGTATATGTTCTGTGGAGAGGTCAGGGGGAGAGGAAGAGCATTAAAAGTCAGAAAACCGAGCTAAACACGGGAGATGGAGGGAACAAAACCAGATACAGACACCTATTAAAATTCTGTCAACACCAATTGGTCCTGGCACCTATCATGCACCTTAGCTTCACCACAACTGACAACGTCACTACCGTTCTCCAGGATCTCCTGTCTCTAACCCTCATCTGTCACACAAATGCTGCCAGTTTTTCTCTTGGATTGATGCTTGTCATGTTGTTTCCCCAGCCATCACCCCCATTTGATACCTTATGCATTCACTATACCTGAAATTCTTCAACTAAGTTACAAAAAGTGAGCCCTGGAGCGACAGACACTCTAAAATGAAAAAGCTCAGAGCCCTGTGGAAAAAACATAGCCAGTTGTTAACAGTGTCAACATGTATATTCCTTTAAGTAACAACACACACTGGGGCCACTTTCCCTACCCATATTGTGTAGAAAGGTTCTCAAGCCCTTCCTAAGGCTCTTGGACATACACATCATACATCAAAGGAAAAAGGGATAGAAACAGAGGGATTCACTAGCTGATACATAATTTCTTTAGAGTGAAGAAACAAAAACACAAAACCTGATTTGGCCTTGATGAGTACTTTGGGCTAATCTTCATATTTGTGATTTTTATATGGTCCCTAATTTTTATTGGTTTTCACAATTACTTGGATGATATCAATTTCATGTGTTCACTGGGGCATCTGGAAGTAGAAGACGTGGGCTCGTGTGGGTCCAGCTGAAAAGTACTGAGCCCATCACTTCCATCTAACTTTTGGAAACACTGTTTCTGCTCCCCTTGCTAGGTAATCGATCTTGCCCATCAGCTTAAAAATAGTAAGTTAAGGGCTGGCTCGGTGGCGCACGGGAGAGTGCGCCGCTTGGGAGCGCGGCGGCGCTCCTGCTGAGGGTTAGGATCCCATGTGGAGACCGGTTCCCGCTCACTGGCTGAGCGCGGTGCAGGCGCAGCACCGAGGGTTGTGATCCCGTTGCCGGTCCCCAGTACGGGCACGACACTGAGGGTTGCGATCCCATTACCGGTCAGTAAAAAAGACAAAAAGGAAAAAAAAATAGTAAGTTAATATTAAATTCAACCTTCAAATACCTTTTGCTATTGTAAAATCAAGGAAAACGGAGGAAAAATAAACCCTGCCCATGTACTTTAAAGTTGCTATTTCCACTATTCATGGATACCTGTACTTTAAAACTAAAACCAATCTTAGTTTAGACATATATGTTTTATTTAAATTTAACACAGTAAAATCAAAAGTGCTGTCAACTCACCTTTATACTTAAGTTGAGACCTAAAGGATTATACACTGGAGCATGAAGAATTTGTTCTAAGTAATCTTTCATTTTTTTAACATTTTCTGGTACATGGTGCTCTAAAAATACATGAAATATATTTCAAGCACACATATTATTTTTTCATTTTGCATAAAATTTGTTATATGTATTAACTTACAGTGAAAGATTTGTCTCTATGACTAACATGGAATATGGCTAAGTTATCCCATACTTTCAGTTCTTCTTGACTTCTTGGAAGATATATTTAGGGGAAATTAGGCCCAATGTTTCACACCGCCTTGAGGGGCATGTTTAAGAAGGACAAGTCTTCTCACCACCTTTCTCAGGCTAACCTTTCCTTCCAGATTCATGCTCATAACCAGTCCTGACCTGCACATTCTTCATGTTTTTGGCAATGAGACCATCTCAAGACCTTCTTAGTGGTTGGTAAATGATTTTCAGTAAGGTGGCAGTAAAGTTTCACAATAAGATCACTTAAATCTATTCCAAAAGAAGTGATCAGTTATCCCTGCCTTTCTTGGTGTTTTTTCTAAAATAAGATAGGTAGTGTAGGGTTTACAAATTATAGTGGTAAGATGGTACATGGCATCTAAGAAAAAGAAAAGCTCTGATTGTAGGTAGCATTTGCCAATTTCCATGGTATAAATGTTCTCACCATAGTTAATTTTAAGCTACCAATGATTTAACAATCAGCTCGTAAAATGCTTCAGTATTTAATACTCAGTACTCCAAATCTGGTAAGAGCAGCCTCCAGTACATCACAGAAAATGGGGATATTAATTAAAACAAAATATTTAGTGATTTTACTTTACTGGATTGTTTCATTTCAAAAATGCATTTTTGGCAGAGTAAGACTCACTGAATATCAAATATCTGGATATTTAGTAACATTAGTGAGTGATTAAAATTTCTATTTAGTTAATTCTATCTAGTTAGTTAATTCGTCTATCTCTCTCTATCGCCTCAAAGTCCTCAAAGTATACATACATGAACAAACATGTTGTATATTTAAGTTAGTAAAAACAAAAAGTTGTATATTCAAGGTAAAATTGAATTGAGATATTCAATATTTAAAGATATTTATGCATCTTTTCAATTATCTTACCATAAAATCTTTGAGACACTTACTCCTATAATTAGAAGACAGATCCTATAATTGCCTGGCAACACCCTCTATAGCCTCCTCTGTAGCAGTGACTACGCAGTGAAAGGAGACACTACACCAGCACGTAGCACACACCCAGTCAACCACTGCTGCTCCTAATCTACACAATGGCTTTCACATATTTTACAGTTCAAATTCTTCAAAAATGCTTTTACAACATAGAATTCAGGTCACTGCAAGTGATGATGAAATAAGGAGGAGAGAAGAGAAGTAAGCAGCAACATGCCAACTAATTCGAAGCCTTTTCCAAAGAAGCCCTGGCTTCCTCTGTGTAAACAGGCTTTGTAAAACGCTGATCTTTGCAAACCACTAAGAACAACATTATTTATAAGATAAAATAATTACGGAAGAAGGCAAACCCTACTTAGGTTCCAGTTTTTCCTCATATTCACTTCAGTCACGGTAACCAGATACGGAGGTTTCACTGGGATATGTCCATCCTTATTGTAAATTTCCAAAGAAATTGGATATTGTGTAACTGGAAACTTAAAACGAGGAACCTAAAATACAAATTCCAAGGATGAATGTAAACTGGGAAGATTCAATAGTGATTTCATTTCCTGGTAAAGAATGAATAGATATATTTCCAACAGTTCGGCTACTCTAAATGAAAGGTGCTTCTGAATAGGCTTTCTGCCTTGTCAGGCACGAAAAAGCAGAGAAAATGCGCACTCCAAAGGTTGCACGCAGACACTGTGGTAACAAAGCTCATACTTCCTACTACCAGTAAGAACAGGACTTTATTATGACATCATTCAGATTTTATTTTGGTTAAACCGTATCCTGTGAATTGGGTCTCACCCCTCCCCCCCCTTACCACTCTGCCTGCCAGTCACAGTTTTCAGGCACAATCTGTAAACTCATGTTCTGGAGTTCAAATCCAGCTCCAGCGTATGTTAACAGTCTGATCTTTGACAAATTGTCTGGCTTCTCTGAGACTCAAATTAAATGAGACAATCACGAAGAACGCTTAGAGCAGCATTTAGTAGACAGTAAATGCTCGAGAAGTATTTTAATTCAGCAAGGGGGTATATGATAACAACCCTCATAATTTACTGAATGCTAACTCTATGCCCAACATTGTATTAAATGATTTTATGTATTGTATGGTTACGAAATCACTTAATAAAAGACTATATAGAGAATATATATGTAGTCTTATATATAGCCTATATATCTTATATTTGGTCATATAGAGGCTATATATTGCATATATAGTATTTATATAGTCTTATAAGGCCTTTGAAATGGATCTGCTTGAAAATTCCACCAACTGCATACTTGACTCTACTAATGTAAAAACCAATATTAATGATATACCTTTGACTGTTTTGATACTAACAGAATGAAATATTATTTGACACAGAACCCATTCCCTTAACCACCATATTATACTCTTTTGTTTGTCCCTACCACCAGACTGAACTACTTGATTACAAGGATTTCGACTTCTGTATTCAAGAACCTGATACATATTATGGTGAATTTTTTGAATGAATTGATATTCACCATAATCTGGTATAGCGTTTTACAGGTTATAATTTGCTTTCATATAGATATGTATGTGTGTGTGTGTGTGTGTCTTTATAAGAATCTGGTGAAATGAATGAAGCAATGCAGGTATTATTATTTTATTTTATAGGTGAGGTTCATTTACCTGTCTAGGTACATTCAAATCCAGATCTTTTTAGTTCTGTGTCATATTTAATCTATATCATAAGAAAACATTATTTCTATGTCTTACTTTTCATGTTTAACTAAAAGGCATATTTCAAAATCCTATTAATATGAATGTACTCTGTCTTTAGGTAATTAAAAATTATCTTACTTTTTCTCTGCAATCTGAGAAAGCAACGGCATGTGAAAACTTCTGATCATTTGTGCAATTACATTCCTCCCGAGTAGAGACATTAGCACACTGTTTGTATTTACCAGCTTCCTGCAAATAGAAATAACATGGGTTGACTTGTGGTTGTGTGTGTGTGTGTTGCAGGATTTCTATGCACTGAATAAATGTTCAATAAATATTTGTTCCCTGAATAAATAAAATTCCTGAGATGTTAAAAGCAGAAAAAATACACTACTAATAAAGTAAGAGTACAAGTACAATATTTCTGAATTTTAATGTCTTCTTGCTTGGTAATTTGAACCCACGTATCACCCAGCTGCTTGCCAGTTGACTCAGTGCAGTTGCACAGGTCCTAGGAAGCCTGCGTCATTCTGAATGCAGCATATCAGGGAGGCCAAACTCCCTGCTCCTGGCCCCTACCATTGCAGGCACCAAAACCAAACCAAAACAAGACAAAATGAGACCTAAAGGGGTAGATTTGATATTATGGGGCTGAAGACTCTATGGTACACTCCCCAAACCTGCTACTTCGTACTCGTCTTTCCTCACAGCATTCATTAATGATATTTAAAATCTCCACTATATCTTCTCATTTGTGATTCATTTTTTACTTGATCGCTCTTACTAGACATTGGCTTATTTTATTATTTTTTATAAGAACTGGCTTTTGATTTTGATAATCAACTCTATGTTTAAAATGATAACCTTCCTTCAACTTTCTTTAGGATTACCATTTTCCTCCTAGATTATTTTTTTCTTCTTTTTATTTACATAAAATTCACCATTGTAACCATTTTACTTATGTATTTATTTATTTATTTTAGTTTTCAATCAAGCTTTCAATGAAAAGATCATAAAATAACAGTTTCTCATCACTTTACATTAAGATTGCACGTTTCTGGAGAGATCAGTCGTTGGTGAATTGCTTTTCTATGGCACTGGAGGGCTGAACACCTGCAGCTCTGACCTGAACTTATCCAAAACTCTCAAGGGAAGTGAACTCATTATGATGAGTGACAGCGGTGGTGGCCAGTACAGGCGTGCAATCCCCATGTCCGTCCCCCTTTCTGGGAAGGGCATAAGGTAGGACATGATCCCTCTTCCAGTTCCAATTAAACAAAACAGCTATAACTTCCCCTTCCCCTCGAAGTATTTGCAAATGGGCCAGTGCCCAACCTGGAGCCCCCCCCTCCCCCCGTGTGGCAGGGGGGAAGCAAGTGATGTGTTGGGTACAGAGAGGCTCTCCTCAGCACCTGCACCTATGGGGCCCCACCAAGAGGAGAGGGGAGCCCTGGGGATCCTCCCTGCTCCAAATGAGGTCTGTTATGCAGCATTTTCGAGGTCAGCAAATTATGACCATTTTAACCATTTTAAAGTATACGATTCAGTGGGTTTTAGTCTATGCACACAATACGGTTCAACTTTCATCACATCCATGGGGATCCTCCCTGCTCCAAATGAGGTCTGTTATGCAGCATTTTCGAGGTCAGCAAATTATCACCATTTTAACCATTTTAACCATTTTAAAGTATACGATTCAGTGGGTTTTAGTCTATGCACACAATACGGTTCAACTTTCATCACATCCACCCCCCCAAATGAGAAACATGTGTGTTGTGTGTGGTTACTCTTTATTGTCTCCTCCCCACACCAAGTTGAAAACAAGTGAACATGATACAAATGGACACATCCATATAAAGACAGGAAAGTCGGTGGTGCCTGAGGTGGCAGACAATCTAGGAGATGCTGTGGGAAGCTCCAAGAAGTCATGGAAAACTCTGCAGCAACCCAAGTCCAGCTCCGAGCAGCGTTCTCAAGCATGCATACAAGGACTCAAGGCGAGGATGAAAACTGTACTTGAATTTGTAAAAGGGGATTGAGCAGGAGTGAACAATCTGCCATGGACAGGCCTGAGAGCAAACAAGTACATCAGAGATTGTAGACAAGCTGGGGCCATGCCAGCTTTTTTATATGATTTCTTTTTTTCCTCCCCTCTGGCACAAACAAGCTCTGGGATTTCAAAAACTGGGTCATCATTTTTGAATTCCCTGCTTTCAGCACAGCGCTCAGTTGGTCTGGCTGATTGGCTTACAAGCCTGATTTCCTGAGCTAACACTTCCTAGCCATTCAGCTGTGGGGGAGTAATAAACTGGGGCCTGCCTTTCCCACTGGCAGCAGACTAGCAGTGCATCTCGCAGGACAGCTGGAGGTCCATCCTTGTATTTCCTGCTATTATATGTTTAACTGCATCAAATACGCCCATTAAAGCACCACTTCAAAGACCGCCATTCTTCCTTGGAGGCCAAGAGAAGGGAGATAGCACTGACCGCCCCCACACCTGGGGAAATATTCTGACATCCTGATCTCACAGGGTGATGGCTCTTCCCATAGGCTTTGGTGATCCCAAGAGCATGGCTGGCCTGCCCATGAGGGACATGGTGCCATGAAGAAGACGTCCTATGTAAGCTTCACTTAGGTAGGGTCTAGAGTGTTCACAACCCACTTGAGTAGTACCTGTCACCTACGGAGTTTGGCACCATCTGGGTTTTCTTCCAGCAGCGGACTTAAACTTACCTCCATCAGGCACAGGTTTTGAGAACTTTCACTTGATTTTCTAAAATTATATCAATAAGTCTTTAAATATCACCTTCCATCCCTGAGTTCCAGATTCTTAGGAAGCTTCCCTGGTTTGTCAACATGAGGTAAAATATACTCCTCCTTTCTGACCAGGTAAAACATTTCCGCCTCGCTCAGCCAGTGAGCGGGAGCCGGTCTGTATGTGGGATCCGAACCCTCAGACGGGAGCGCCGCCACGCTTCCCAAGCGGCGCACCATCCAGTGCGCCACCGGGCCGGCCCGACAGTTGCAATTTTAATAGGGAGTGCCTTCAAACTGTAGACCAATTTGGGAAGTATTGCCATCCTAACACTATTAAGTCTTCCAATCCATAAGCATGGGATCTTTCAATTTACTTAGGCCTCTTTTAATTTCTTTCAGCACTATTTTGCAGCTGTCAGTGTATAGGTCCTGCACCTACTTGGTTATATTTATTCCTAAATATTTTATTAGTTTTGATGTGCTTGTAATGGAATTGTTCTCCTAATTTAATTTTTGGATTATTCATTTCTAGTGTATAGAAATACAACTGATTTTTGTACATTGATCTTGTATCCTACAACTTTGTGGAATTTGTTTATTAGTTCTATTAGTTTTTGGTGTGTGTGTGTGTGTGTGTGTGTGCGCGCGTGCGCGTGCGCGTGT